GAGGTTTCTTCTGGCCTCCGACATAATGAATGGTATAGTCAATTGAATTGATGCTGTATTCATGCAGCGCTACTATTGTTTGTACATTGCTGTTACATGATACTTCTGAATGCTATCAGGACAGTATATTGTCTGGCAAAACAAATGCCAAGTGCTTTTCTATAAGAAGATTATCACCTAGGATGTTTTCCCATATGGAAATAACTCAGGCTTACTGATTTTTATATCAATAGTTATGAACTTCAGCTGCTTACCTGGACAAGTCATCCATCATCCACAAAACCCAAATGCTTGTAGAAGGGAGATTGCTACAGCAAGCTGCACTTTGTTAGTTCCATGTACTCGATCCTTTAAAGCAAGAAAACTGCAAAAAATTCTGCATGGGTGACACTTGCCAGTAGTGTGTTTAGGGAAACAGTGTTTGCTCTTGGTTTGGCCTGCAGTTACTAAAGAAACTGTGTCTGACTCTTTTCCTTTGTGGTTCATGCCTAGGCTTGCCTGGTGACCCAGGAGACCCATAATTTAATCTGGCTAAGAATGCTTGCGCTGAGTTAGGGGCCTGATCCGAATCCCACTGAAGTCTTTGGACAGATTTCTGTTCATTTCAGTGAGCTCTGGATCAGTCCCATGAATTTCCAGGGACTGTAATGCAGTGGTTTTTAGTGGTTTGGGTTTTTTTCTCTTCCTGATAAGGATTAGAAACCAACAGCACTATTTAACAAAAGGTGCAAATGTCTTACTCATTTATCTCATGCATCATGTCAGTCAGAACACTTGGCTATTCATCATGTTTTCTGCAAAATCTGCTGGGATGCTAACAGTTTCTGTTTGGATGCAACTGGGAATGAGTGGGAGCACAATTTGTTGACTGCTACTTAATGGATCTTACATTGGGATGGACTGGTCAAATTTTGGTTTTGACATTTTGTTTCTCAGTTGCTTATTATCCAAATGGAGTAGCCAGGGCTACGTTTTCTTCAAGTCAGTGACAACTTGACAGCATTACAAAGGATTTAAGTTCAATGAATTTACCTAATTAAAAGAGCCAGTCTCTCTTGTCACTGGAATGGGAAGCCAGAAATACTCTCTGCTATTCTGGTTTCTGTGTCATTAACAGAAACACTTTTGAACTCCTGCATGATATTAAAAATACCAAGTTAAAAAGTTCTCAGAACCTTACTTCTGTATCAATGACAACCTTAATAATTAGAGCCAACTGGACTGATTGCCAAGAACTTTGCTTAAGTTTTCCTGTGTTTGTTATAAATGTGTGCAGTTTGGCTTGGGTTTTGCCTCCTAACATCCAAGAAATAGCACCTTCTTAGATGACTGCTTGCACTTCTGTAATCTGGTTTCTCAGGTGAAGAGTTTGTTTACTGCTGGCTTGCAGTTTGCGTGTTAACTATGGGAACAAATAACTCAACAAAAGGAGGTGTTGTAGGAATTCAGACTTCTCTTTGATTGTCCTTTGTGGAATCTAGTCACTTCGCTCTTTTGTCACAGAATTTCCTAACTCACAGGGCCTGCCTGGACAAGTTGGAGAAAGTAGGAAGGCAGGAGACAGTTCGAAGTCCCATCAGCTGATGTGTCCCACTGATCCAAACCAGCTTGGCATTTATTGAGGAAAAGACAGTAACTGGGCAACTGAACTGTGTCAGGGTCAGATCCCACATGGCAACTATGATCAAATTATGGACTCCAGGGCAGGGGATGGCCTCCCTATGATGCCTGCTGCTGGTTTGCAGAGGGAATGTTATTTTAGCCTTGATAGTTCAATAATAAAATGAAAACAATGTTTATAGGAAGAAGTCATATCTTTTATTAGATTATAATATCATATTGTGAAAAAATGACATGAAGACAAAGAAACCAGACTAAATAGCAACTTCCTAAGCTTTGGCAAGAAAGACAGCATCATCCCTAGAGGAGTCACAGTCTGTATGTCTGTGATTGTGCATGAAACCCTGAGTGGACTAAATTGTTATTGAGAAGAACTTCAAAAACTATAATTATGTGCATTATCCATCATTTTTATGTGGCAAATCTTGCTCTCATTTGATATTTTCCTGGACACCGATTTTGTCAGCAAAGTTAAAAACCCCCAGATCTGTGGTAGTTGCTCCCAGCTGCATTTTCTTGGAAGTAAAGACACTAGAAAAGGAATCAGTTCATTGCATTTCCCTCATACTTTGCATGTATTCTAGCTTTTTCCTCTGCAAAGCCTTGGGATACTTGTTTACAACTCCAGTAGAAAATTCTTAGACATTTAAGATACTTCATAAAGCAAGTGTCATCTCTTGGAGAAATTATATATGGGGGCCTCAGGGGTGGCTAGATGAGAATGCTGGAATGCTTTTCAGGAATGTATAGCTCTGGCAGGTCTATGAGTAAATCCTGCAGGGTTAGAATGTTACAGGACATTGCCTCTCAGGATTGAAGATTGTTCCAGTGCTGTTCAGAGAACTGACAATCCACCATAAGGCATGCAGCGAGTCAAAAATGAGTTTGTGAAGACCTGCTTATAGGAGATCTGTATCTAGCTGTATCTGTTAGTCTCCCCCTCCGTCATTGATGGATTCTCTCGCAAAATGAGAAACAAAGCCCCATTTTTTATAACACCCATTCCTTATGAAGTTCAGCTGTACTCTGTAGCAAAATCTATGTGATCAAAAGTTTCAGATCACTTGAGAACTTTTTTTGTTGTTCTTTTGATATGTCACCATGCAACAGATGTTTAAAAAAAAAGAAAAATTGATGTGGCTGTAAACATGGTCTTCAGTGTTTACAAGGGAATCCATTCAGATCAGAAAATTACTCATCAATCACCTGACATTTTTAAAGCAAGTTTAATCTCTAGAATAAAATTCAGGCCTCAGTCATGCAAATCCAGCTTGCCCGTTCAAGAAGGCTCATCTGTTGCCCAGAGCTAATTTTGGTGTGCCAGATGCAGACGGTCAGCAGCAAGTAAAAATCCTTACAGGCTGCATAGAAAGAGGCTAACCAACTCCTAAAAAATGTTGTGTGGAAATTCTTCCCAGCAATGCATAGCAGTGGTTTCCTGTTGTCCTACATCATTCTCCAGAAAGCATAGAACAGGCTACCATTGCCCTCTTATGCTATATGTGAAAGGGAAGGAATGACTCATGGCTTGTGTATGGAACAAAATCCTTATGTGTCATGACAAGCAATAAAGTGCAGTGCAAAGCACATGGCAAGGATGCTCTTGTGGTCAGAACACTGGTGTACTATATTAAAGGTAAACTCCTGGTACTGGTGAATGCTTTTCCCAAAGATTCATCACCTATCTCAGACTTTGATTTCTCCTTCATTTGAGTGGTTATTGAAAGGTCCCCATTCGTTAAGGAAGTATTTTGATATGTGAGAAAAAGAAAGAGAAGACGTCTTTTTTTTGTAGTTTTTTACTCATTCCTTAAAACCAGAGTTTCTACTAAATGCCTTGGTAAGTTTTGTGGGTTTTTTTGTTTGGGTGGTTTTTTTGTTTGTTTGGTTGGGTTTTTTTTGTGATACAGAAAGAAACTGTAAAGAGCAAGGAATTAAATATGTGAGTGGAGGAGAAAAGAAATCCAGAAATAGCCAGAAATTCATGATTTAGGGTACACTTCCACAAAGATGTATACTTCTGTAAATTTGTGCCTTCATACTTTATTTTTCTTATCCCCTGTCTTGTATCACAATCTATTCACAAGGCTGAAGTGTAAGTACTTGAATTGCTTGGCTGCAACATCTACAGACAGTGGAGCCAGTTTAAATACTCAGCTCTTTTTACCTTAATTTGTTCTTTTGTCTTGACGGTTCCTGATACCTGATACTGGAGGCACAACTTCCTGAGACAGCAAAGGGGAAAAAGAACACATCAGCTATTCTCTGAATGTACCCCTGCTAATTATTGTCTGAGGTTTTAAACAAAGAAGCACTCACATTTGAGAAGCTGCTTGTGTATGAACTCTTTAACAGAGCCGTTCAATTTACACTCTGTATGAAATGCCTCAAAAATAAACTAATGCTATACTAATAATCTGAGCATTTATATAGATCACCAGGAAGACTAATGTTATGATAAATACAGAGTCATGCAATTTTCAAAATAAAGAATACCAGATGTGAGGGCATCATAAGGAAAGTAACTCTGTTGTGTAGTCTGCTAGAAGCAGTCAAGTGCAATTTTAATAATTAATTAATAAGCCTGGTACTATTTTTCTCATGGTGAATATTTTACTTAAGTTTTCACAGATGTTTATAGGATAGACTGATGGACACAACATAATACAGTACTGAATCAATTAAATATACCCTAAAAGAAGGAGCTGATATTAGAATAAAACAAAGTAGATTGGAAATAGCTTTGAAACCAGCATGTTAGTTAGTCTAATGGTGCACACCTGAATATTGTTACATTCCTCAGAGCCACATGATTTCCTGTTCTATATAAACCCTAAGCAAGCTGTACTATAGGAAGAGCAAGAGAGGATTTGGGTGTTGGGGTTTTTTCCCCATATATAAGTTATATAAATTCTTGTAGTATTAGATTAGTTTTCTTGGTGACTGTTTGAAGCTGTTTATAAAGCATATCTCAGTTTTTAGCAGCTCTGGTCTGAGAAGGTAATGCTTGTGGTCTTCAGTGTATATAAAAGAATTATGTAACTGTAAGAACTGCTAGTTGTTGACTGTAATATATGTGATGTATAATAAGGATTAACTAATTATAATAATATTAAAATCTTTTAATACTCTGTTAACTTGCTTAGTGTGAGTGCCTTCTAGTAATGTATTAAATTAGTTTCACTACCCAGAACTAAATTTATCAGTTGTTTGGCAATTGGGTTTATCTGGGCTCTATCTATTATGGCTTATGCAGGTTTTGCAATATCTGTTCTTGGAACTTGATAGTACCTTAATGTTATTAAGTCTCTCTAACATAGTGTCTCATCTCTGCTGATGACTATCCAACAGCTAAAGCACCTTGTGCACTTCAATTTAAAATGAAAGATGAAATTGCTGCCACAGTCTTCTTCATCACGAGGCTAGTGAAAAGGGAAGACAAGCTGAGCAAGCATAAAATGGAGAAATTTGCAGCTAAATTGACGACAATACTGTTTGAAAAGTATAAGAATCACTGGTACTTGGACAATCCATCCAGAGGACAAGCCTTCAGGTAAGAGTAGCCTTAGTGGAAGAGGAATGTAGGCTTTGCATGACATTCAAGATGCAGTGAGCAGCCTTTCAGTGCCTGGAGCCCTTAAACTGGGAATAAGTGACACAAAATTGAAAAAGAACCACTCAGCTATCCCTTAAGCTTGAGGGAAGAAGTGTTATTAACTGGTAAAAATGCACTTATTTTGAAAGTGGTTTCACAGTGCATGCCTGTGTAGCTATGACTAGAGAGCTGAGGTGGAAGTCTTTGGACAATATGCACAAAGTGTCTTGAGTAGCCTTCTGTCTTGAATCCAGAATTCAAGTGGTCTTAAACTGACTTGTGGAATTGTTGTAACTGCTTTTAGTTATCTTAAAAATTACCAATGAAGTGAACTGCTGTCTTATGTGTTTGAAAAAACAAAACCTCGTTTGGCTTTAGAAATCAGCTTGGTAGGCTAAATTGCTGGTTGGGCTATAAGTGAGAACTTGCATCAACAGGCTAAATGTGTTGAGAAAATAAACAGTGAACTTAAGTGTACTTCTGTATGAGCAGAACTTGGGAAGTTGCAGTGAAATCTTACATCCACCTGCACTTTGTTCTTACCTAGGTGTATACGGATAAACAAACATCAGAGCAGAGATCCATTGCTGGAGCAAGCTTGTGTGGAGAGTAATGTGGACTTTAATAAGCTTGGTCTGCCAAAAGAGATGACACTATGGGTTGATCCATTTGAGGTGTGTTGCAGGTGAGTTGCGAAGCTGTGACTAACACATGTCAAGTGCCCTGCACAAACTTGATCAACTCTGTCTGTTACTAGAGTCTTAGTGTCTGAGAGTACTAGTGTCAGCTGACTACTAACAGATGTCCATGCTGCTAGTGCAGAGCTGCAGTATACAAATACAGTCACTTCCAGGTATGGTGAGAAGAACCGTCCCTTCACAATTGCGCACTTTGAAGGAGAGGAGAACCCAGAGCTTCCTCAGCAGATCAGTTATGCTGTTGACAGAGCAGCACTAGACTACCATTCTGGCATTTCTTCAGATGAGGAGAGCTTCAACAAGGAGCCGAAAGCTATCCCTACTGTCAGCAATCCTAAGAGTGTCTACCAGGTAAGCATGTGGTAATGGCATGTGGCTTTCAGTAAGAGCCCTCTAGGTTCTCTCATGAAGGAATGCAATAGACTTAATTATGGCCAGACTAATCTCCTCTCTTTGCCAAACACATTTTAACATTATCTCATTTCTTGCTGTTCAGTTCAGTGACTACTGCAAGGCATCCATACAGCCCTGGTCTCAGTATCTTCATAGGAAGACCTATATGACTGATGGCTCATACTATGCCCAGCACAGGGGTTACAAAGTCTACAGGCCAACAGCTGCTTTCACAGGACCGCGTGTTGATAGATACCACTGGATCAATACCAAGCGGTAGATCTGTGGCTGCACCTGTCATAGCTCAGTGTTTCAACAGCCTATGGTATGGGAGGAAGGCTGGCACTACAAAGTTTCATAAGAACAGAAAGCACTTATTGTCTAATCTCTATCTCTTACTTTGTACACCTGAAACTTTGGGGTTTTATTATACAACCTTTTAAAAGTTTTATTAATGTTAACATAAGATTGAAAATTAATGTGGGACTCTACTTGTAAGTTAAAAAGGAAATGCCTATATCAATAAATCTACTCATTGGTTGTTTTTTTTAAAAAAAGCTGTCTGATCTGCTATCAGTGCCCTGAAGGGAGTTAAAAAGCCTTTCGGTGAAAACACAAGTGAGTTAAGGAAGATAAAAACATCCTCCAAGCTGGCTTGAATGATAGTCTGCTTTCTTCTGGCAAAGGTAGCAAGGGCAGCTCCATTGTGAGCAAAACATCTACACATCACAAGCAGCATCACTTCTGTGCTCCCCCTTGAGTGAAGCTTTGGTCTATGCAGCTGTGAAAGACTGCCCTGTGGCTCCAGCTAGTCTCTAGACTATAGCATACCTGTCAGAAGAACACAGCCTTATGGGCAGGAGAGGGGCAAATACATGGTAGTGTAGCTTTCCACAGCTGTAAGCTAACACATCACCTTGCAGAATGATGGACCTGTTATCTCTGAGGATATCTAGCCTGCCAGTTTGCAATACTGTGGCCCATAGGAAGCTTTTCTCATAGCTCTGGACAACTTGAGTCAAACTGTCTTCTGTTTGGATTTCTGGACTAGCTAGATGGAGACTTCCCCTTTCAGTGCAAAAGGACTCACTGGAATACTACTGGGCTTCAAAACTATGCTCTGGGATATTGTTTCCAGTACTCAGTAAAAAAAAAAAATGTGGTCTCAAACAATTGGAATCAATGTAACTTTGCTCTCTTGACTTGCAGTATGTCTTTCTACTGACTGTATTTGTCACCTACTCCATCATTGCCTGGTGATTAAACTGTGGGGCATAAGGGTTACCGAAGTGATGTCAGTAGCTTCTGTCTTGCTGGTTAATCTGGTCAAAATGCTAAACAAACTAGTTTGTCAGGACTTAATAGCTCAGGTAAGTACTCATGGTTGTCACTTGCTACAGCCATTTCTACTTGCTGCAGCCCAACTATTACTACCTAATAAGTGATGAGGGAAAAAAACATGCTAATAAGTAGCCATTTTTTGTCCTGCAAAAGCAGCCAAGTAGGAGCCAGTTCAAGACTGGAGGGCTAACTGTATAAGTGAATCCAAAGAGAATTAAAACTGCAGTATAGATTTTAGCTAAAACTTATAGTAGGTGTGAAAAGCTAATGCTTGCTGTGTCAAGCCATTGGTGCTCAATAAACTGTATCCTATCTTACCTTTCAAATATCATGTGGATGGGAATAATCAGAAGGAGGCCAAGGGCTATAATCAACTATTCTCACAGCTATGTCTCAGTCATGCTTCACCATGACTTTGTCTGTGTTTCTTCAGAACAAACCCACATCAGTCACATGTACTTTTACACAAGAATTTTGTGATAAACTTGGTATTAATAGGATTCAGTAGATCAGACATGCAAAAAGTAAAAATCCTACATTTCCTATAACTAGAGATAATTTCCTTCTTAAAACACTTAATCTTAAAGTCTGTTTTTAATATGTGAATATTGCAATCTGTGGGGTGTTGATTAAACTGAGTAAATAAGATGAGGAGAGGCTTCTTCATTACTGTAAGTCAGAAGCAGTGTTTCCAACCAATTCTTGCAGCTTTGATACTAGAACTTGCATGCTAGCAGCTTAATCCCTTTATCGTAATCAGTAGTGGATTTTTTTCCTAGCAAGGTCGAAATAAGCATCTGTGTATGGGGTGAAGGTGTGAACAATTGATTCAGCGATACAGCATTAGTGTTGAGGGTATTAAGTGACTCATGAAACAATTTGAATCTTGTTCTGTGCCTCCATGAATTCTTGTACTGGTGGGGAAGGAAGGATCCTAGGTGACTCTGCTCTTTCCCCACTTTTTACCTGAACCAGAGGCTGTGATGGGCAGAGAAGAGGTGATGTTTCATTGATCAGTGAATACTGAATGTTTCATGTGTTTCAGGGTTTAGCTCTTGAATTTGGGAGGAGGAAAGACTGACTCTCCGAGCTTAAGAACAGGGCTAGTCTTTGACAGTGCAGGACTGGTGTTCCTGTATAGATGGTACTACAGAGCAGCTGAAATAGGGTGACTTCAGAAGAAGTAAGGGCTGTCTGGTCCAGGCAAGTTGCTTTCAGTGGTGGAGATAGTATTTCTTGCTCTTGATGTGTAATTGTGGAGATACAGTTACTTGGGTTGATTATATCTATAGCTTTTACTGTCTCAAAGTCAGAAGAAAAGTGTAAGTATCAGCTGATGTCTGCAGAGGCTTCAGAACATGTAGTGGACTGATATACTAATTTAAAAGAATATTTTTTTTAACACTAAGCAGATTTATGAGTGACTCTGTTTTGCTTCTGTTCCTGGAAACTTCAAGTCTGAGCTTTCGCAACAATGTTTGTGTTTTCACGACCAACCGGGTTAGCTCAGTTGGTTAGAGCATGGTGCTAATAATGCCAAGTTCACAGGTTCAATCCCTGCTTACTGCAGGGGGGTTGGACTCGATGATCTCTCAAGGTCCCTTCCAACCCAAAGCATTCTATGATTCTATGATATAGCCAGAAATGTCAGTCCCTTAGACTAAGGTCACTTAAATTGCTACATTGCTTTCACTCCTAATTTAATGAGCCTTTACTATGAAAGGGGAAAAATACACTGTAGTTAAAACAAAAATACAAGAGTTACTTTGTCTTAAAGCCTGAGTACAAATGCAGAGGACCAAGTTAGAACCAAACCCGCAAGACTTTTTTTGAGTACCGTTACAACTTTCTGTCTAGGGCTATTTTCTCTTCTAATGCATTTATCTGTTTTACCAAACAGTCTTTCTCCAAACTAGTCATTTCAAGGTAGTAAAAAAGCAAGTCTTCATTGCCTTTACTGTTTAAAAACTGGTGTTCCTCCTCTGTGATATGTACCAGCTCTTCAGTTAAACACATCCACTTTATCCTAAAGTTCTGAAGGGGACACGTAAGCACAGGTTTCCTCTTCAAAGCTAAAAAAAAAAAGGTGCTTAAAATTAGACAGTAGAAATGCCACTGTTAAAGTGGTATCTGTAGACTCTTCACAAGAGCAAACCAGAAAGACAAATTTCACTGGAACTTAACTTCTCTGTTACCGAGAAAGTGATGGTAGCTTACAGAGAAGTAATCGGTCTTTCTGTGACATACCCTGGCATCAATTCTGATCTGGTCTTTATACAATGTGCCTACATGTAGAAGGTTATGGAGACTCACTTTATAGTGTAAAGTGAGGTCATGATGAAGAGGTGTCATGACTTGCTTTGTATCAAACCCCCCAAATCATTCAGTTGTTGCTGTCTTAATACAACAGTTAATAATACCTCCTGTCAAGTCATTCTTACTGTGTGCTCCATCTTCTTCACACTCACCCTGCAGGTGTTTATATACATTGATAGTAGGATTCTCCCTGAGTCTTCTCTAGGTTAAACAGTCCCAGCTCTCTCAGCTTTTCCTCATAGGGGAGATGCTCTAGTCCCTTAATCATCTTTGTGGCACTTTGTTGGACTCTCTCCAGTATGTCCATTTCTCTTTTGTACTGGAGGGCCCAGAACTGGACACAGTACTCCAGGTGTGGCCTCACCAGTGCTGAGTAGAGAGGAAGGATCACCTGCCTTGACCTTCTGGCAATAATTTGCCAAATGCAGCCCAAGATACCATTAGTCACCTTTTCAGCAAGGGCACATTGTTGGCTCATGTTAAACTTTGTGTCCACCAGGACCCTCAGATGTCTTCCTACAAATCTACTTTCCAGCTGGGCAGCCTCCAACATTTATTGGTGCATGGGGTTGTTCCTTCTGAGGTGTAGGACTTTGCACTTCCTCTTGTTGAAATTTGAGGCTGCTGTCAGCACATTTCTCCATCTTGTTGAGGTCCCCCTGGGTAGCAGCAGCTTCCCTCTGGATCCCAGCTGAGTTGGCTCATGTGCAAATAGCTCAAACTGCTGGTGCTTACCCATATCTCTGAGGATATATGTGTGCACCTGTTTCTGATGGTACAAATGACCCTTCTCTTCACCAGCTCTAGCTCGAGTCATGATAGTTTTATCATCATTGTGCAGATGGGATAGTTAATTCTGGATCTGGGTACTCAAGGAATGGCTGAAAAGACTTTTGGCTATATGGCTTATGAACCTCTTAGCAGAAAGCCAATGCTGTGCCTTCCCAATACACTAGGAGTACCTTCAAGTTCAGGAGTTTAAATGATATATAGAGCTTCTACTGACATCCTACAGGAGTCTGACCTTACCAAGCAATGATTTGGAGAGGCAGGCATCTATAAGCCAGTTTAAATTGCTATCTTGTAACAAAGTAAGAAAAGAAGGATGGGGAGCTTTCAACCAGACCAGGTCTCATGATTTTTCTTATTACCTTCTCAAAGGCTTCCGTGTCTGTGAGGCTTTTTACTTTCACCTCAAAAAGTTGGGAGATGAGATTTATTTCTTCCTTGGAGAATGGTTCTTCCTTTAGCAACATCTGACTTATTCCATAAGATTTATCGCCCTGGAGAAGTGCTGACAGCTGGAGTCTGAGAGAGAATGTTTCACTAAGACAAGCCTTTAGTGCCTAGGAAAAAAAAAATGTTTTGAAAACCTGGAAGTTGTCGAACACAATTCTTTACAGCTAACCACTGAATAGAGATATTAGTAAGGGGGAGGGGAAAAGATGGAATCAAACAATAATAGGGTATCAAGACAGGCTTTTGTTACTGGAAGCCTATTTCATCTGAAAAAATAACTTCAGTGGCCTCATGAGGCTTTGATGCACACCTCAAATATGCTGCATAATGTGGTTAATACGCAGTTGTTAAAGACAGGATCAGGATAAGAACATGGTGCCATGC